AACCTACAATTTTAATTAAAGTTTGTTGCAGAACTCTGCAGAACTTATATCTTTTTTTCTATTTTTCTGAACGTTTGCATGTAATTTTTCAGACTTTTTTGTTACAAATATTGTTAAAGTATTAATTTATATATAAATTATTATTGTTTGTGTAATATATAATAATATTCTATTTACTTTCAACAGAAGACTCCATCATACAGAATTAAAAAAGATGAACTGTACGAATTTTCATCAATTTTTGAATATTATGTTATTTTTCTCTCTCGTGCGCTCCTAGTGTTATTCGTGCGAGGGTCACTTTAGCACTAGATTATAACCGCTAGGTATACCAATAGACCCTTTCTAACTATGGCGTTATGTGTTTGAAATATCAGTCTGTCCAACCTTATAGTTCAAATTTCATAAAGAGAAACTTTATTTTTCGACTTTTGACCAGCTTTTCGGGATTTGGCCTCACTGTGCGCCGGTGCGGGACGGGGAGGCGGGGCAACCCAGGAAAGGAAGAGAAAGGGTGTCTGCCCCCCCCCTCCAGCATTGGAGGAAAGGAGATCTGGAGGAGGAATTGCTACCGGAATTGCTAGTAGAGCTCTTACCGGCGGCCCTTGTTGAGCTGGGGATTGTCCCACTCTTAGTCACAACAGCGGGGAAGAAGCTCCTTTTTCCAAGGGAGGGGAGGGAGAGGGGCGAGAGGGGAAAAAGGGCCGAAGCCGTTCCCCCGTCCGCCGCCACCCCCTCAAAGGGAACCCCACGTCCACGTCGGACTGGGGAAGAAACAGGTGCAATCACTGCCAAGCCGCCAACCGCACGAGAAGGGGGGAGCCCCCCTTCCGCAACGGCGGCTGCAGCAGCAACAGCGGAGTGCGCAAGCCCCCACCGCCGATGCAACCTTTGCAAAAGTGGTAGGGAGGAAAGAAAGGAAGGGAATGGCACAGGCGGCCAAAATGAAGCCCATAGATGGACCACAGGGAGAAAAGGGCCAGGCCCAAACCGCTCCCCAAAAGACCCCAAAGATCCGGAGACCCCCCAGCATGGCGGCAATTACCGTCACGTGCACGCAGGAGTACGCACGGGTCATGAGGGAGGTGAGGGGCGGGATCAGCCTTAGTGATCTGGGGATTGATTATTTGAGGCCCGGAAAAGCTAGGACGGGTGCCACCCTCCTGGAGGTACCGGGCCCAAATAGCGAGGAAAAGGCTGATGCCCTGGCCGAGGCCCTAAAAAGGATCTTCAGAGGGCGGGAAGATGTAAGGATTGTGAGGTCTTTGAAAATAGGGGAACTGAGGGTAAGCGACCTTGAAGAGTCGTTGGACGCGGTCGAGGTCGCGGCTGCAGTAGCCAAGGTGGGAGGTTGTCCCCCCACACAAGTTAAGGTGGAGCCCATCCGGTACCCCATAGTGGGGAACGGAATGGGCATGGCCTGGGTGCGGTGCCCCCTCAAAGCGGCAATCAAGGTCGCGGGGGGGGGGAGGGGGCAGCATCCAGATTGGATGGGGCAAAGTGGGGGTCTCCCTGCTTAACGAGAGGCCCTTACAATGTTTTAAGTGTTTGGAGACGGGTCACGTGCGGGCCAGCTGCACGAACCCGTCTGATAGAAGCGAGGCATGCTACAGGTGCGGCGCAAAGGGGCATATGGCGAGAGACTGCGAGGCCCCTGTCTGCTGCCCTGTATGCAGGGATAAGGGGCTCCCCCACATACACAGAGTAGGGGGCCCCGCCTGCAGAGCTCCGATCAACAGAGAGAGGATGGGAAAGGTTACAAAGGGGGGCACGGCCTTGGCCCCCGTGCCCACCCCCAAGCCACAAAGGTCTCCCGGGAGGAGGAGGGAGTCGGTGACGAAGAGGAGGAAAGAGAGGACGGGCGCGGCCTCGGAACCCGCGCCCGCTCCTATTACGATGGAGGCGAAAGAGGCGGGGCAACCGGGCGTGGACTTGGCAACCGCGCCGCCCCCCACGCGGATATGAAAGTGGAAGAGGCGGGATCACCGGGCACGGCATGGGCCCCCTATCCAACCCCGCTGGCGCGACGGAAGAAGAGGCGGGATCAACGGGCGCGGCTTAGGGACCCGCGTCTCCTCCCGCACCTGTGAAAGAAGAGGAGCCGGGAATACCGGGTGGGATTTCGACTCCCACACCGACCCGAGAGACAGCGACGAAGTCGTTAGAAAAGGTATCCCCTGATTGGATTAGCCCGAAGAAACCGAGGTCAGCGGTGGAAAACCGACGGAGTAGAGGCAGCAACAGATCATCATCAGCATCGCCATCGCCGTCGTTGCCATCACCATCAACAGTGGTCAGGGAAGATGAGGTCGTGGAGATTTCGGGGGATTTTGAGTAGGAACATTCCCGCCTACCAGGATCCTCCAAGCGAACGCGAACCACTCCGCCATGGGTCAGGATTTGTTTAATCAGACCATGACGGAAGGTGGGTTCGAGTTGGGAGTGGTCTCGGAGCCGTATCGGATCCAGAGGGACCACCCCAACTGGTTTACGGATCCTACTGGGGAGGAGGTCGCAATTTCGTGGCGACCAGCGGCGACGCCGCGCCCGTGCTCCAAGTTTGGAGCCGGGCACGAATTCGTTGCAATTGAGTGGGGAGAGTGGGTGGTACTGGGTGGGTGGTACGCCCCACAAAGCTGGAAGCTCCTCTTCTTCAAGATCTTCCTGTCGGGGCTGGGGGACTGCATCCGCAGATGCCTCCCCCGGCCGACGTTGGTCGCGGGGGACTTCAACGCGTGGTCTACGCTATAAGGTTCCTCGCGAACCAACGGGAAAGGAGAGGAGATGGTGGATTGGGCGGCGGCACTCGGCCTGTGTCTTTTAAACACGGGTTCGAGGAGCACCTGCGTGCGTACCCGGGGGAGTCCATCGTGGATCTCACGTGGGCTTCCCCGTCGGCCGCGCGCAGGGTCACGGGTTGGTGGGTGGACGAAGATCTGGACTCGGGGTCCAATCACAGATACATCGTGATCGAGGCCTCGACCACCCCCACCGGACAGCTCAGCCGCTGTCGGCGTAGCACTCGCAGGAGATGGGTCCTCAGAAAGATCAATGAGGACATCCTGATGGCGGTCATTCTAATGGAATCCTGGCCGAGGCCATTCGGCCAGGCCATGGACCTGGAGGAAGAGGCCACGAGGGTCGTGAGCATGGTCGAGAACGCGTGTGAGGCGTCCATGCTACGATCTAGATGGTCCCCCGTTAAGGCTATGCACTGGTGGACCGAGAAGATCGCCGAGCTTAGGCGTCTCTCCTCGGCCGCCAGGCGCACATTCCTGCGCGCGCGCAGAAAAAGGGGGCATCACACCAGGGTGACTGAAGCTCTGGGGGGTTTCGTGCCGCACGAAACGTCCTCCGAGCCGCCATCAGAAAGGAGAAGGCAAGGGCTTGGGAGGAGCTAACCTCCACCCTGGACCAGGACCCGTGGGGGCGACCCTTTAAGTTAGTGCTCAGGAAGCTGAAACTAAGGGCGCCCCACACTGCGGAGAGACTAAAGCCGGCAATCCTCGGGAGTATTATCGACACGTTGTTCCCCGTGGGGGTAATTAATATACCCCCCTGGACGATCAAAGAGATGTGGCCCGAGGAACTGGCGGTCTTAGCAGAGGAGATGACTGCAGTGCGGGCCAGGCTTGGCGGCTCAGCCAAAGCACCTGGACCCGACGGAATACCTGGCAGGGCGTGGACCTTGGCAGCGAGGGTGTTAAGTGACCGGATGGGGCAGTTTTTCACAGCCTGTCTTAGATCCGGCACTTTCCCCTCGCGGTTGAGGAGGGCCAATCTAGTCCTCCTCCACAAGGATGGCAAGCCGCCGAAGCAACCCTCAGCATACCGGCCCATATGCTTGCTGGACGAGGCGGGCAAGCTCTTTGAGCGCATAATAGTGGGACGCCTCGCCCAGCATCTGTCTCGGGGTGGTCCCACTTTGAACGATAGGCAGTTCGGCTTTCGGGAGGGGCGCGGCACAGTGGATGCAATACGCCATGTGCGCTCTTTCTCGGAGGTCGCGCTGGAGGGGGGGAGGTTGCAATGGCAGTGTCATTGGACATTGTTAACGCCTTTAACTCCCTCCCCTGGGACTGTTTGGGGGCAGCATTCGACCACTTTCAGTTGCCCCCTTACCTCCGGACAGTCCTGTAGGGCTACCTCCGGGGCAGGACTTTTGAGTACACGGATGGGGCGGGCACGGTATGCGAGAGGCGGATGTACCGCGGGGTTCCACAGGGGTCTGTTTTGGGCCCGACGCTGTGGAATCTCGGGTACGATGTTGTGCTTCGAGCGGCCCTTCCTCCGGGCTGTGACGTCGTTTGCTATGCCGACGACACATTAGTCATGGCTCGGGGAAAGGATTGGAGAGAGGCCGCGGCTGTGGCGACCGCAAGCCGTGGCCAGCGTGGTGCGCGAAATACGGGGCCTCGGGTTACAGGTGGCTCCTCAGAAAACGGAGGCCCTGTTCTTTCATAGGAAGACAAGAGGCAGACCACCCCCGACATACATAAACGTCGGAGAGTCCCGTATCCCTGTGGGGTCCAAGATGAAGTACCTTGGCCTCACCCTGGATGGACTCTGGGAGTTTACTAAGCATTTCGATGCTCTCGCTCCCAAAGTGGACAGGATGGCAAACGCGTTG